AGTCTTTATTCTTCATATGTATTTTAAAAGCAAGCTTTTCTTTGTAAAAACTTCAATTGAATTTCAATAAAGTTAAAAGCATGGCCTCATTATTAATATTTTTTTTTTAAAAAAAAAGATATTAGTATAATCTAAAAGTGTAATATAAATATTATTTTATATTTTATTAATTTTATTATAGTTAAGGTGTGACAACTTAGTGAAGTAAATAAGTTGTTAATCTTCAAATAGTAGGTTGTGAATTCAAAACCTATTGATAATAAAAATTTGAATAATTACTTATATAATTATAGATAGTATTATAACAACAAATTTATTAATTAGTTGAGATAAAATATCTATAATTATAGTTATACTAGCATAACTGGCAAGTTATAAGACATCTATATAACTGACTATACAAAAAAATATAAACTAGTAATAGGTAGTGCAAATCTAAGATAAGTTCTTATAGCTGTATAAATTATAGAACTGAGAAGCCAGAACCTATTTGAAATAATCTAAGTAAAAAGATAACACAAATCTTTAACAGTACTATTGTAAAAACTAAATCTAGAAAATAGATATCAATATAAAAAAATCAGACAAGCAAGAACCTCAAGTAAAGGATACTACTAACTAGGTCATCAGAAGTTTTAAACCAAAAGAAAAGAATATTATATATTATAATTTCAATATATCAAAAACAGATTACAGTCTTTCTGAGCTATTTGAATTGAAAGTCTGATACCAAAAGCAAGGGTATATTATAAGTTTTAAGAATAGCTATGAAGTAAATACTAAGATTTGAGTAAATTTTACAAGAACAATCTCTGTTAATAAGAACTAAAAATGGGTAATTAGTTAGCAGAAAGATCTTTTGAAGCTCTACAGTTAGACAATATACTCTAAAATATATAATGACTTGATAAACATATAAATAGAAAGATCAAGATTAGATTAAACAGCATTTAAATATATAGGAACTTGTGTGTTATCTGTTAGATATAGTATAAAAATTAGAGTATTTAATTAAATAATCTTCTAGCAGATTACAAATATAACAACTAGTATAAAACCTGCTGACAAACTACTTAAATAGATAGCCAAAAGCTGTATATGTAACTAGTTGTATACTCAACTTATACAAGTTATATAACTATAATTAAATTACAATAAAGACAGTAGTTACTAATAACCAACAGCCTTAGTAAAAGCAAAAAAAAATTTCACTATAGTTATTATTATATATATAAAAAATATTAAAACTAAAAAATAAAAAAATTTATAAATATTATAAAGTTGAAAGAATTTAAGAAGTTTTTTAAAAAAAAGTTTAAGTATATTAAAGTTTTTTTATAAAAATCTGCCAAGTTTAAAGTTGAATACTTTATTTAAATCTTTTATTAAAATTATTTTATAATTAGTTTTGTTAAGAATAGAAAAAAATATATAAGAATATCTTTACAAATTTATTTTTTTCTTAAATTAGAAAATAAAATTAGAATAGTTTAATATAAAGATTTTTAAAAAGATAATAATTTTTAGATAAAAATTTTTAAAAATCTAAATTTTTTTAATATGCATAACAAGTGATTTGTGAATTAATATTCTTATATTATTCTAATAAACATTACTAGATATTCAGAAATTTTTATAATTTGTAAGTTTTTATAAAAAAATCAAACTTTGTTTCTTTAATAAATAAATATGTTATTGAAAATGGTGATTCTAGTATAGTGATTGGGTTGTCATTCTCCAAGTGACAGGTTTAAGGTTCAAATCCCACCTATAATGAAATTAGGAAAATATATTTGCATTATAGTAACTGTCTTCTGTCAATCGGTTGGCCTTATATAGCTGTTATCCAGATACACCAAGTCAGGTTTCTCTGACATTAGAAGCTCAGACATCTATGCAAAGTGTAATATTACATATATATAAAGAAATGTTAACCAGTGTTGCATAAGATTTCAGTGCAAATCTATGATAAAACCATCAGGCATAGAAGACTAAAGAACTGAGATGACAGAAATCCACTTGAAAATTCCCAAATAAAGAGGTAGAATGAACTTTCAATAGTACTATCAGACCAGTTAAAGCCTACAAAACATCTTCATAGGAATCAAAGATTAAAACCAGATGTCAAATATATATAGAGAAGCATATAACCAACCAGGCTGCTAGATTTGCTAGAGGAAAAGAATACATAAGTATACCATACCAGGCTATCTGGATTGGTAATCTGGAATAAGACTGATAGTTTTGAGTTGTAACTAGTAGAAGATAATGGAAAAAATGCCAGGAAGATAGGTGCTGGGGTTCTAGTGAACTTTACAAGGGTAGAAATAGTGTAACATAACAGTTAAATAAGTAACACCTGCAACTGCAAGTGTTAGGTAACTATAGCATGTTGCATAAAACTAGGTCTATATATATAAGACATAAAGGCTCTAGTAAGTTTTCTATTGAGAATAAAATAGTTCTAAAAATAATGATAAGCATCAAGAACTTGGATGAATGTAGCCTTAAGATGTTCTCATGATACAAGGAGAATTGTATATGCAGAAGATTTAAATAGGCAAGACCTTTAGTCAGCTTGCAAGTATGACAACTAGTGTAAGCAAACTACTTAAATTAGGCACCAAAAGTGCATATGTGACTAGTTGTAACCTTCAATGCAAGAGAGCCCCTGAAGACATCTGTTTTCTAACAAAACTTGAATAAAATATCACATCCTCAAGATAGGAACTTTAACTATAAAAAAATAAAATAAAATAAAATAAATAAATATGTTTTTAAAATTCTAAAATATTTATTTGATTTTTTAAATAAAATCAATCAAGTTCAGTTATTTAAAATTATTTAGAAGATTATTAATATTAAGTAAATGTATTTTAATTGATTGTGTAAGATTTAGATTTTCTGATAATAAAATATTGTTGTTTGTATATATTATAGAAATAAGTAATTCAAAATAAAAAAATAAAATAGTTGAAAGAGATTTTTAGTAATTTAAAAAAAAAGTTAAATTTTAAAAAAGATATTTTGTTTTAAATAAAATATTTTAAAATTTTTGAAAGATTTTTAAAAGAAATATAAAAAAAATTAGATGAAAAATCAAATTTTTATAAAAGATGAATATAAATATATATATATATATTATTAGTTATTTTAATAAAAATTTTAATCTATTGTTCTAAGCAGTATATTGAATATTTATTCTGAATAAATTTTAGAAAAAACTTATTAACTATGATGTTAGTAAAAATTTGTTAAAACATATTGTAGGATTATATATTTTAAGTAAATCAGAAATTTGGATGAGTTATTTCTTAAATAGTGTTATTGTTAATAAATCAATAATATTATTTAGGTCTTTTGTTGGTAATTTATAATTATTATTAGTGATGTTAAAGTTTGTTGAAATGTTAATAAAAATATTTGATATATGAGATTTTTTAGAAATGGAAATTACTATTCATACAATGGGTTTTTACTATTCACATAATGATTATACTAAAGATCATGATTTTATATTTATTGTCAAGGATAATGCTAAAATCCGGGACCTTAATTTGAAAATATAAACTCTACTAAAATTCACCTATACTCTTTTATTATAAACACTAACACTAAATTCTAGCCTAACTGAACAAAACACCCCAAAAAATTTTAAAATTTCATAATAAAATAAATGAAAATTTCAGCATCATCCCTGGCACTAATTATAATCCTTCAATTTATGCAATGGCACAAAGTTTTTATTAATACTATCGAGCCATTTGTTACTATTTGAATTCATTATGTTTTCGTAACAATTTTTTGTTGCTGCGTCTTGGATACAAATAAATAAACAGTTATAATCTTCCGGAAGAACATTAAAAATAAATCTACAAGCTTTCTGGTGCAATAGCATTTTCTTGATTAATTTTTTTCGTTTATTATCAGTGGAAATTTTGTTACGGCAATTAACATATACATTATTTAGAATAATGTGTTTATTGGATATTACACTTTTAACGATCGCTTTCACTTTAAGAAGAAAAAAAAACATTAACTAGATCAATTATGTAATATTTTAATAAATATTATTGAAACTTTTTTGGGTGGCGGTCATTCCAATCTGTAAAAAAATATTTTTACTGATGCTAGCTTAGAGTGTCCAGCTATTTCTAGCATCTAAAATAGCACTAACGATATTACGACAACCACATAGCGATAACAAATTCAACCAGATTTGTTCTATTTTAATTCGATCATAAAATAAAATAAGAAAAATTTTTTAATTTGACTGTTTTCATGATATCGCTGGTGCTATTTTAGATGCTAGAAATAGCTGGACGCTGACTGATATTTGGACCAATAGGATTGAGATATGAAAACCTGATTATGTAACATCACTGCAGGTGTATAAATTGACTCGTTTTTTTTTTTTTTGATTTCTTCCTCCTCTATTACATTCCTTGTGTTGAATCAAGGGTAGGTAATTGACAGATTAAAACATTCATCCATTTTGATTATGATCAATTCACGTATTATACTATAGTTTTGAAAAAAAATGTTTGATTTTTCATCGGATATTTTACGAGAATTAAAACTTTGTTCAAAACCAATTTTTATTAAATATTGGTCGTGCTTAAAGTAGTATCGGATTAATTAAACTATTAATATTTTATAAAACCTGGATAAAAAAAGAAAATGAAGCATAACAACCAACTTCCGAACGGCCACTTCCACAAGGATTGGCAGTTGCGTGTTAAGACTTGGTTTGATCAACCTGGACGCAAAAAGAGAAGAAGAATTAATCGCATCCAAAAGGCTGCTCGGATTGCTCCACGTCCTATTGAACTTTTAAGGCCAGTAGTTAGATGTCCGACTCTTAAATATAACACTAAATTAAGAGCTGGACGTGGATTTACTCTTGATGAACTCAAGGTTGGTTGTAAGCCTTTTGTTGAATTTAATTAATATTTAGCAACGTTGTTGAGTTCCTTTATCCCTTTATTGAGATTTAATATTATAGTAATTTATTTGGGGATCTGCTAATGCTACCCTCCACATAGTCAAGCTGACCTCTAATTCTAACCATAACCTTAAACTAGGTTAGATTTAGGGTTAGGGCTAGTCTAATATTATAATTTAATTAGTTATTTTTATTATACCAATCTTATAACTAAAATTTTGCGTAACAGCTAGATTGTATAGGAGGTGGTATTAGCAAAGTGGGGATATTCTTTTTTTTATAATACTTTGGTTTGATTGTTGTATATAGAAATATTAGTCATTTTTATTGAGTTCTTTGATAGCAATGAAAAAGTCATGTCAAAAGTTAAAGAAACATAAATAGTTTTTCTTGAAAACTAGCATATTTTCATGCATATTCTAGTGGCATTGGATTCCTTATTACTAAATTTCAGAATTTCATATTGATAGGAAGCTGGAATTCGCCGTAGGGAAGCACTCACTATTGGCATTCCCGTGGATCACCGACGTAAAAATCGATCCAAAGAATCTCTTGATCTTAATGTTGAAAGGTTGAAGGCTTATATGGAAAGACTTATCATCTTTCCTAGAAAACCCTGTAAACCGAAGAAGGATGAACAAAAGGATAAATATGAGGTATTATTCTTTAATTGTATTTTTCCTTTTGTTGTGAAATTTTGTTTCATGACTAACTTATAGTTATCATCAAAGAAAAAGAAGACTGAATATGAGGTATTATTCTTTAATTTGATTTCCTTTTTATTTCTAAAAGTTTGGTTACATGACTGATATATAAATTGTCATAAAGACCCAAAAAGCAGAGTTCGCCACTGCAGCGCAACATAAAGGTCCCGTTATTCCCATTCGACAAGCATTGGACGAAGAAGAGGCACGTCCCATTACTAATGAAGAAAAAGCAGCTAGCGCATATGCCACATTGCGTAAAGCGAGGTCCGATGCTCGTCTTGTTGGTGTGCGTGAGGCTCGCCGTAAAGCCAAAGAAGAAGAGGAAGCTGCCAAAAAGAAGTAATACTTGTGTGATTATAATTCTTAAAGGAAATGTAAATAAATTATTGATAAGAATAGTGAGTGAAATGAATACAAAGAAATATCGGTCACAGCTGTATCCATAAGTAATGATTAGTCCAGAACTTTATGCGAATAATAGTTACAAAACTATTAAAGCATGTAACTTAAACATTGTTTGCAAATCCTACACATGACCTATCGATTACAAGTATCATTTTATGTGTTGCCGAAACGAAGCCTGCCTGATAATAATTTAAAACATGGTATACAAAACGAGATGAGAAAAAACATGACACCTATAAAAAATTTTAATTTTTTTCAAAAAAAAAGAAATTAAAAACTCAAAAAATACTGAATTTTATACAAATTAGTTTTTAGGTTTTTCAAAGCAAAGCTTAATTACAAATTATTTTATGATATTTAAATTTAAACTATATATTATTATCTTTTTTCGAGATTACTTATAGTCATGAGACATGTTTTTTAAAATAGCTCAAAATTAATTACTTATAGATGACATACTATAATTTTATATGTAAAATTTGCAAAAAAATCTACATTTTTTTAATTTTTTTTAAAAAAATAAATATGAACCAGATTGTAAAGTATATATTTTTTAGTATTTTACAATTTTTTGTTTAAAGTTACAGGTCTTAATTCCAAGTAGTTTGAAAAAAATCTTGATCTAAAGTTGTTTAATTCTTTATTAATTAATTAAACTAATTTTTTAAATATAAAAAATTTTATTAAATAAAAATCTTTTAACTTTTAATTAAAGTTGTAAAAAAAAATTATGATTTTACTAATTGGTAAATTATTAAAATTAGTTTAGTATATTTCAAAATATCAAGAGTTAAATATGTAAAAAAAATTATAAATTTAGTTATACAAAAAATTGTAGCTTATTATAGGTATTTTAGTAATAATAATATTTTTTTTTTTTGGTATTAAGATGAGGCCTTGCTTGTATCTTTATTAGTAGTTTAAAAGTTAGCAGCTACATGGAGTTGTTATGTACAAAAAGTAATTTTTATATAAATACTATAATTAAAACCATTACTTGCAGTTCGAGTTAAATTGAAAAATTGCTAATTATATAACTATTGTTTTAAGTACAAATAAAAGAAAACTACATTTAAAAATAAAAACTCAGACATATTTATCAGTAATCTAAACCTATTAAAGTGATCAAGACTTATCTAGATTTGTAAGTTTAGAATATAATTATAAGAAATATTATATTTGATCTAAAAAATAATTCAGATATTAATTTTATAAATAGTATAACTAATAGGTAGACAGGTATTAGAATTGAAATGTAATTGGTTAAGTAGTCTATATGAGTAGAAATAAGTATAGTTTTTATAATTAAAATTTTTTTTGTTACTTTGGCTTGATTGAAATAAAGGTTTAAAGTAAAATGATTTAAGTCTTTGTTATTGTTTCTAGTTAGTAAAGTTTATTTTTTATTTTTTATTTTTTTTAGTTAAAGTCCTTGTCTATAAGAATCGATGTTTTTATTCATTTATTTGAACATGAGTGCCTCCAAAGGCTCCCTTACATTGAAGATTACAACTAGCTACATATGCACTTTTAGTGCCTAATTTAAGTAGTTTATCTATATATTAGTATACAGATTTTATACTAGGTGCCATATCTGCATGCCAACTATAGGTCTTGCCTATTTAAACCCTCTGCATATGCAGTCCATTATGTCTTACAATGACATTTTTAAGGCTACATTTATCTAAAGTACTCAATACCTTTGAGACTCCTTAGAACTAGTTTATTCTTAACAGAAAACTTATTAGAATCTTCTATGTCCTATACATAACTGACTTAGTTTTATATAACTCATTATAGTTGCCTAATACTTGTAGTTATATAAATTATTTGTTTAACTGCTATGTTATACTATTTCTATTCTTGTAAAGTTCACTAGAACTCCAATATTTAACATCATAATGTCTTTTCTGTTATTCTCTACTAATCACTACTCAGGACTAATAGAACTCCTTCAACTTTCAATCCAGATGGCCTAGTATGGTATATTTATATATTTTTTTTTCTTTAATAATTTCAGCATCCTGGTTGGTTATGCTCTCTTCTACACATCTTGTTATTCAGTTTATTCATCTATTTCTTTGAAGATGTTTTATAGGCTTTTATTAGTCTGATTATACTATTGAAAGTTTATGCTATCTCTTTATTTGGAAATTTCCAAGTGGGCTTCTAACTCTTTGGTTTCTTAGTTTACTATGCTTGGTGGTCTTATTATGAGTTTGCACCAAAGCCTTATGCAATACTGGTTATATATTCTTCTATATATATATAATATTATACTTTGCATAAATGCTCTAAGCTTTTATTCGAAATAGTATGACTTAAGGTTACAAATATACTAATTTAACTGATTATTAAGAGACAGTTTGTTGTAATACAAATATAATTTTCCAAATTTTATTGTAGATAGAATTTGAACACTAAACCTATTACTTGGGAGATGACAACCTAACCATTATACTATAATCATTATTCCTATTAGTAAAGTTTATATAATATGATCTTCATAACTATTTATAAAAAAGTTTAACTTTAAACAAGATAACAATAATTATTTATGAGATTAGTTTATATAAAATATTAAAGTTTTGTATAATATTAATTAAAAATTTAGAGAATTTAGTAAGATTATAAAAAATTAATATAAATATATTAATTAGAATTAATATTTATATATACTTATTTTTGATTTGTTTATAAGATTAGTTTTTTAAAAATTTTTTTTATTAAACTAATCTTTTTAAGACTAAGTTTTTTTATTTAATATTATAAAATATAAACCTTATAGCTAAAATTGTAACAGAATTATCTTTATATTAGAAAGTACAACTACTTATATATAAAAATGATAAAAAATGTTTTAAACAGTTTTTTAAATATTTTTTATTGTTTTAAAATTTTTTTTAAAATATTAGGATCTGAGCTAAATTTTGCTTCTAATTAATTAATTTTAATTATTAGTTAAGAAAAATATTTTAAAAAAAGAAGGTTTTTAAGTTTATTAAATAATATATAAAAAAAATAAAAATTATAATAAATATATTTAATTAATTTAATTTTTATTAAATTTATTATATTTTTCAATATATAATATGTTTATTAGCAAAATACAAGCTTTCATTTTAATATTTGTTAATATTAAAAACCTAATGTTTATAATAATAATATTATTATATAAATTTTATTAAAAAGATTTTTAAATAGATTATTTAAAGATTAAAAGAAATACAATATACAAATAATTTATTTTGCTTATATTAATTATTATTATTATCATTATTATCAAATCAACTATTAACTTTGATTTCTTTTTAGATTTACAAAATTTAATAAATAGTTATAACCTTTTTTACTTGCTTATTATTTAATTATACATGATTTTAATTATAAATATATTTAAAATTAGACTAACATTATTCTACAATAACTGAAAAAGCTAAAATTAAGAAAACTTAACAAGTAAATTCAACTAGGAAAAACAATTTATTTAAAAAATTTAACTGCTACCAACTAATTAAATTCAAATATTTGACTAAAATTCAAAGTAATAGTTCAGAAAACTTATCAGATTTAGTAATATATTTTTGAATTACTTTATAGATCTAGTATAAAAAAATTAGTTTTTTTTATTATTATTAATAAGCAGTTAATTATTTAGCCAAACTGACAATTTTATTAATTAGTTTTTTTTTTTCAGTATTAAGATAACCTCTTTGGTTTGAGCTTTTTATTAATACTTATAGCAGATACATGTTTTATATAGATATATTTATAATGAACTATTAGACGAGTGTACAACTGGCTACATGTATAACTTTTCTATATTACCTATTTAAGAAGTTTACCCAAGGGTTCCCTACTAGTTGCCGTATCTAACACCTCTGCTTAGATGTTCTATTTAAATCCTCTGATCTAACTCTAATATTAATTTCACCAGGTCACAGACTCAAATCTATTCATATTTGATCATAGAACTATAATTCTTAGACTATTTTTATTCTTGAGATAAACCTACCAGAGCAAGCTGTATTCTCTTTTACTGCTAACCTGGTTTGATGCTATGGTCAAGCCCAACACTTGCAGTTAGGATTAACCTTTAAACTGCTATTACTCTTGTAAAGTTTACCCAAACCCTAGTACCTATTTTTCTGACTTCTTCTTTATTATTCTCTACTAGCTGCAACTTGGAACTAACTGACTCTCCAGACTTTCAATACAGATAGCCTGATATGGTATACTTATGTATCCTTTTCTTTCGATGATTCTAGCAGCCTGGTTGGTTATATGTTCCTCTATATATCTTTGTCATTCAGTTTATTCAATAGTTCTTATAAAGGTGTTTCATAGGCTTCTATCAGTCCAATGGCATTATCAAAAGTTTGTGCTACCTCTTTACTCAGGATTTCCAAGTGAGTTTTCATCTCTTTGGTTTCTTAGCCTTTTATACCCAGTAGTCTTATCGTGGGTTTGCACCAAAGCCTTATATGACATCAGTTTTTATATTTCTCTATGTACATATACCATGTAATGTTACACTTCGCATAGATGCTCTGAGCTCCCAATGTTAGGTGGAACCCAACTTGGTGTACCTAAGATTACAGATGCCCAAAACTCAACCGATCAGCAAGAGACAGTTACTATAACACAAGTATAATTTCCAAAATTCATCGTTTATAGGAATTGAACCTTAGATCTGCCACTTAAGGGTTGACAACCTATCTACTTCACTAGGTTGCCACACCCTAATTTTATTAATTAGTAATATTCTAAGTATATATATAGTTTATAAAAATATAACTAATCATATATATAACTTTAGTCATTGTCTATTTAAGAGTTTTATTTTAAGGTTATCTCTATCTGTTATATCTAACTTTATTTATAAATATTCTATTTAAATTTTCTGGCTTACTTAATTAGTATTTGTATATTTCTAAT